TTTTACTTTACAAAAATAAATAAATTACAGCACTGAGGTTAGTAATGGAGATAATGAATGCACTGTTGCCATGCCCCTATTCCAGGTGATTTACCATGGCTTTTCTGCTGCTCCACTTTCATAACAGGCATGCAGTGAAAAACCGAGAAACTCATAGAGTAGATTATTATGAAATTCCTGCTTTATGTTTTCTTTCTTTATTGCGGTAGTAACAACATGTGTAGCACACGCCTTTGCTAGCTGAACAGAAGCCAGGTGCAGTAGTCACGCATCTGAACTTTTGTTACTTCCAGTCATGAGTTATTCAAGATGTATATTAAAGATGTGCTGGGGAAGGAAGGTTTAAGGTTCTGTGCTGCAGCATCTGACTTCATATCATCAGCAGAAATGAAGTTGTGGCAATTAAAATGTATGGGAAGTGTTTAGTCCTGGGTAAACATACGCAACCTGTGTATGTGAATTGATGTGTGTAAATACATACTTGAACACATACACCTGTGTGTGTGTGTGTTCATTGTGTGTACGTATATCTGCATGTACTGGCAATGTCTATTTTTCAGCAGTAAATAGTGCTTACAGGTGTGACATTTGAGACCACAGAGGATTATTTAATATGGGAAAGGAAAAATTTTGGAAAACTGGTGTCAAGATGCTGGAGGAGGAGCTCATGACCTGTTACTTCACCAGTTTACCTAACAGAAGTAACAAACTAAGTTTAGAGACTGTATATTTTTACCATGATACAGTGGGTTTGATTTTATTTTTGTTACATTTGCAATGTGCAACATTGCCTTTGAAGGACTTGGCACAGAAGCTTCTCATTTCAGTTATACCAGTCTCCAGTGCCCCAGAATTAAAGTTTCCAGTTTTGGCTCCAGTCCTGTTGTAATGTCTAAACTTTTTCCTTCAGCAATAAAACTAGATGTCCAGCTGCCTGCAGGAGCTCGCTGCTACTTGAAGGCAAAGTGGCTTTTTACATGTAAATGTAGTAATTTACAATTCTGCAGTGTATAAGCAACTTTTTATGAGTAGTGATGTGATAGAGCTGTTTGGGTTTTGGTTTTGCTGTATGTGTGATGGGTTTGTCTGGTCTTAATTGAAGTCAGTGTTTGTCATGAGGCTAACCTTCCCTTGAACTCTTCAGGAGTTTTGCTGAAGTAAGGAATAGGTTTGTATTTGGAGGAAAAAACAAAACAAAACAAACCTAAAAAAAACCCCAACAGACTGTGAGCCAGTCCGATCTGTAACATATTTAGTGGAGTGTAAAGGGTAGGTGAGGTCCCTGTCTTTAGGAATAAATGAGCAACCAGAGGACGCATATTCTCCAATGTGGCAATAACATCTTCATTTTCTTATTACAGTCTTACTTTGAGATAAAGACAGCCTGTTAACCAGCATTACGAAATTCCTGAACTCAGTTCTTCTACTGCCTGTACCAAGCTTTTGCTGTTTTTTCACTAGAATTCCAAATTTCTCAGTGGCAGCCAGGAACCAGTTTGAGAAGTCAAGTGTTTTCATGGGTGTATGCAAATAGGCTTCCTCTGTCCATCCTTCTGGCTTTAATACAATATAACAAGTCAGACTCTAGCCATGTTGGGTAAATTTAACTAGTGTTAAAAAGTGGCTTGTTTTGCAAGATGATCAGTTTTTAACCTAAGTAAATGACTTTCTTTGACTAATAAATAAATCATGCCTTTTACCATGCAGTACAGTGGGTCTCTTAAATACTGTGAGCAGTTAGTTGGTAGTTTCACTTGATTACCTTTCCTATTTCTGTTTTAAATAATCCTTGTAAGAGTGGGGAATTCAGTCACTTTTAATAATGTGACAAAGAAATAACAATGGCAGGTGCTTTTCATGTCGCTGAGCTACACACCAGTGTTCTTCCCAGCTTGGGTTCCAGCCCATGGGACCAACTGGAGCAGGAGCCTCGATGCAATTTAGGAAAGTCCCTTTCTGAGGTGCTGCTCTGGATTAATTAATTACCCGGATAAAGACAACAGTGCTTTTACAGTTCAATACCTTCTTTCCTCTCTGATTCCACATGGCTGTTTTGCATTGTGTTACTGTCCTCCCTGGGCGGAGGGTCTGTCTGTACGGCTGAGTGCGCTTGTGCGGAGCTTTATTTCTTCAAAAGATTATGCAAACAGTAATTGAATTAAAGTGCTGCTATCAACACTATCAGATTCTGGCAAAGACATCCCATGTTAACACTCTGCAGACACACAGATTTCAGAGGACTCGGACTAGTAGAAGCACATCAGGATTCTCGAATACATGGGTCTTTCCCTTCTGGCTGTTTGCGGGGTATCCTTCCTACCCCTTACCCAACTTCAGTGTGTTTAAACAGGAGCTTTCCACCTGCAAACACAGAATAAACCAAACTGTGAACAAAATGAATGAGGCATAAACGTAGACAGGCTTTCTGTGGTTTCTCCATAGTAACCAGGGTGGATGTAGAAAAGCCGAAATACTTTGCCTTTTTTTTTTTTTTTAATAAGCTGGTGCTTAACAAAATCTTTGATGTATCATTAAAAAACTTAAAATTTCCATTGCAATAGGAAAAGCTTTTGTGTTCAATAATAATAAGTTTATGTTAAAAATCAAAATGCCAAAAATACTTGAGGCTCCAGGCGGGTTTTTGTTGCTGTTGGTGCCTGTGGTAGCTGTTGGGGCAGGGTGCTGCTGTGGCCTGCCCAGATGAGACCTGATGCATTAAATCAGAGCATCTCACCATGAACAAAGAGGCAGAAATAACATTCACTGAGATGCATGGTGCAGTCCCCGGCTGGTGCTAGCTCTGAGAGATCAATTGTTAGTGATCAAGACAGCACAGGATGGGTTTTGCTGTAGTTGTGTCTGAATTACATTTATATAGACAATAATAGCTCCTGAATCTTGATTTTTAAATATCTTTAGCATCAACAGCAGTTTCCAAAACATGTCTTTTGAGGCACATTGCGATGGATAAGCCAAGTGCCTGTACACGTGCAGGTCCTGCCACTGAGAGAAGGAGGAAGAGGAGGAGGATGCTTGACCAGGGCTTCCTCAAGCCCTGATTCCTTCTGCTGCTCTGTTCTATAGCAGACACCATAAATGCGGATGGTCTTGGCAGTGATGTCTCCTGGAGGTCACAAAATGTATGTTCCTGAGGACATTTTGCAGAAATTCTGGAACAATTAGTAAAGTAAATAAAGAACATTCAGATACACCTTCCAGGGACTGTACTTTTTGCACTGCTCAGAGGTGCTTTGACCTTCTAGTTTATTACAAGTCAGGAAAAGTCAATATTTCTTTGCTTGCCAAGTTGGAATTTTAATGAGTTATTGAGTCAAATAGTTAATCCTCCAATAACAGATCTCTTTCCCTTTCAGATTTACATTGATAAAAAAAAAAGGCTTAACAAGGACCAAGAAAAATGGTGGTTTTGTAGAAACTGTTGTTTGTCTTTGTGCACATGCTTTAACCCCTTGGTCATTAGTAGGTGAAACATAGCTTCAGCACTTTTCATATTGGCATAAAATGCTGGACAGGCATGGGCTATGCTGATGTTGTTGAGGAATTTAGCATGATAAATAATGGTTGCTATATTGAAATAGCTAGTGCTGATGCTCCTCACATCTCCATTACATGTGATGGGGTGGGGTGGGGGGGCAGCTGTCTTTGGATGGGATCTACTCTGCCCTCCTAGGCTGAACTGTTCTGCTACTTGAAAAAAATCTTTGAAGGGAAGAGCCGTGGGTGCATTTTGGAGGATACTGTGGTGCTACAGTTGCTGCAGGATTTGTCCCACTGCATGCTGGAGCACATCTGGAGTGCTTCCGCTTGAGCTTCCTCTGAAAGCTAATGACCACCAAAGCATCGCCAAGAGCTTAACCTGCATGTGGTAAATGTAGACAACAGGGATTTGCTTCAAAGCTGCCTTGATGGTCCTGGGTGGGTCACTGGTGTTGAAAGGCTGTGCAAGGCTGGCAGCAGGTCGTGCACTATGAAATGCTTTAATTATGCCTTTTGCAGCATCCCTTTGTAATTTTCAACTTTGTATACTCGAATTAGCATAGAATAATCTAATTTCCTGAAACTCTCTTCATTGAGTATAACGCTAATTATTGCTCCAAGTAGTGGCTTGCTTGGAAGTACCCTGTCCTGTATGAATTATAAAAGTGTTCTGATTTAAGCCTTTAAGCAAGGAAACTTCAGAAGCAGAAAATGTTATAGCACAAGGGCAACTTCCTTAGCCTTTTAATAGTATCAAACAGCAGATAGCACAGTAATGTTCAGAACATTATATCCAATGAATTCTTAAAAGTAGTAGAAAGCTGTTTTTCATTATATGTCATTATTCGGAGTGTAGGGATAGATACTGATGGTCGCTTTTACAGTAAGAAGCATCTTCCTGTAATATTCCCTTGACTTCAGTGTTAGTCTTTCTTGACAGTTATTTTTTCCAAAGCTCTTGGCAATTGTCTGTCTGAGATTCAATGAAAACCTGTGTGAATTTTGGGGATGTTCTGCTTCTGGCTCGCAGGGTGGGAGTTAGACTGAATGCGGACACTGGTACAGAAGCTGAAGTGCTGGCACTTAGGGCACTTTGCTGCCCCAAAAATGAAGTTCCTTGTGGGTTTTGTGGCTGGAGGAGTGTAGGTTGTCAGAATTTCTTTCTGAATGTAACTCATGGCCGAAGTTTGGGCACTGAAATAATTTCACTGGATGTTATTCAAGGGTCTGGTTTCTCAAATGGCTAAAAGAACAAGTGGCCACATGTCCATCACTTCAGAAAAGCATTTGCAGCACACACCTAATGTTGTGATGAGTGAGAGGTGGAAGTGTGGGAGCACAGATGAGGAGGCACTCCCTGAGCTGCTGCTATTTGAAGGGGGTGTGCTTTTCACCCTGGAAACCTTGGAGCTCCTGCTCCTGTCGTGGTTGTGCTGCTACAGTAAATGAGAATGGCCTGTTAGGCAAATGTTGCTCACACGGATGTTTTCTGCTCTTCCCAGTGCTTTACGGGCAGGATGGCCTGCACGCATCGTGTGAGAAGAAGTACTGCGGCCGGGGGAGCAAGTGTGTCGTGAACAAGGACACCAATCAGCCCGAGTGCAAATGCATAGAAGATTGCAAGTCCAGCTACATGCCCGTGTGTGGATCTGATGGCAAATTTTATGAAAATCATTGTCAACTACATCAAGCCTCCTGTCTGCAGAGGAAGAAAATCTACATTATCCACAGCAAGGACTGTTTCTTCAAAGGTGGGGTGCCATTAAAAATAAATATTTCTATAGAACTTTCATCACTCATCTTACCATATTCCTGCTAAGTGGCTGAATGGTTTATTTTATTTCTAAGAGATAAATTTTTCAAGGATGGTTTATTTTAGGACACAATAGAACATAACATAATGTTTTCTGCAGCTATCAAGCCCCTGAGTATCATCACCACCCAAAATGTAATCAAACTTGGAACTGGTAAATAATTAACATCACTGTATGCATTGTGTGCACTGTAGGTGTGCTGCTCGGTACTTTCAACTGCCAGTGTAGTAATATTTTACAATGAAATTCATTTGGTAAGGCTTTGAACAAGACAAAGACATTAAGAAAAAGTATATAGTATTACAAAAAGTTTGTTGCAAAAATGAGAAACAAAAACCTACTAAGACAAATGACAAGGGCAAAGGAAAGAAGCTGGTTAGATGAAATAAGAGGAGTGGGAAGTGTACCACCAGAACAGAGTTTTAAATAATTTTAAAGATGCATATATCTTCAGCTTTTTTTACTGCTCCAATAGCAAATTTCATTATCATCATTACACCAAATCACCAAAGCAATGGAGTCCTCTGTCTTTTCCATTAATATTCTGTATGCCGTGTACCATCCTGTCATAAATCAAGTGACACTGCCGTACCAGGAGTGTGTGATAAAATGCCAGGAAGTGGAAGAAATTGTAAATTATTTTATTTCTAATGAGAGGTCTTATAAAGGCTTCACTAGAGTATATCTTGAAAACTCATTGTCAGGTATGACTCCATATACCTACGGAAAGATTTGAGTGGGTCATTGCAAATATATCCAGTGACATTTACGTGATCAAATATGAAAATAATTCCTTTATCTTCAGCTCACTGAGCACTTGAGCCCCTGAGGAGCTTGACTGTATACACATATCCATCACAGGGTCTCGTTTACTACCATGATGCTAGAAGAGCCTATTTAAGAATCAGGAGCCCATTCAAAGAGCCTTATTAATATATTTTCGGGATACCCTTTGGAGATAGAAAAGCATTATCATTCTTATGCCTCAAAGGAGGCCTGGAGGCTGAGACCAGCCCAAAATTTCCAGAGTTATCTAGGCACTGCTTTGTACAGCATTGCAAAGACTGATTTAATTTGGAGGGCGCTGGCTGTGGATGAGACAGAAGTGCTGGCCAGAGGATTGACTCAGTGAACACCAGCTGAGCTGGGCTAGTTTGTCACAGGCACACTCTGAATTTACCAAAGCAGGTAATTACATCTAGGATCAACAGACCTTGTGTGAAATTAAGCATGGAAAAGTGTCACCTAAAGGCATATTTGGAGGGACAGCATATAAACAGGTCAAGGTGAAGAGGGATTTTTGCTTGTCACTTTAAAAAAGAGCATCTAAAAAGGACCTTTGTGCCTTGCTCCAAGTGCTGGTGTTTCTGCTTCTGGGTATCAAGTTGGATCAGGGCATGGATGTGGCTGGAAACTGCCTCCATCACTGCATAAGATGCAGATGGGACTGCAGCATGAGAAACCTCTCAAAGAAAGGGGAAATCTTAATTTCAGAGGTGCTCAGCAGCCTCCTGGCCCCACTTGATGCAGGACTTTTTTTTTTTTTTTTTTTTTTCCTCCTGACTCCCCAGAAAAAGTGTCTTCAGTTTTTTAATTCTTGTACATAGCCCACCTTTTTACAATGATGCTTCTGGTCTGGGTTTTTATTCATTCCTTATCGCGTATAGTGTTAAAGAAAATGGGTTCTCATTGCAGTAATCAGTGCCTCTGCAATGGCTGTATTATACCTAATGATACAATGTCACGCCTGAATACTTTCCTGAACACACTGTGAAATGATGTCAGAAAGTAGTAGTTTTGTGTCGCAGTTTAAAGTAACCCTTAAACTCTTGCCATGGAGCAGTGCTTAAATCTGCTTTTCATCAGAGTAACAGCTTTATGGAAGGGAAGAAAGAAACAAACTCCTCTTCCCACATGAATAAATAAAAAAGTACTTCACACTGCTGTCTGCAGAGATAAAATGCAGAAAAAAAGTTTACCTTAAGGGGGGAAAATAATCCCACAGAGTGGGACTCCATAGGAATATTTGGCTTCAGCCTCTGTTTCTGTCCTGCAGTTCCTGAGTAACCTTCTGTGTATCTTTTTATTGCTTTCTAGTCTCCTATTTGTAAATTCATAATGATAGTGTTTTCTTTTAAATATAAATCTATAGTAAGCAATTAAGCTACAGGTTTATAAGCAACATTATAGATGTAACATCAGGTGTAAGACTTTGACTGGAGAAAAATCTTACAGGTGCAAAATGTATTGTTTCAGCTGAGTATTAGGTGTACATCTGTCAGTAGGCACGTGCTTTCTATTTGTTTTCTATCAAGTAGATAGTTTAATTATTTGAGTACAGTTAGGCTGATGAGTGAGCTGCTTTTTTGTCCCAGTTGACTTGTTCAGTTAAGACTTAAGTCCCTGCATTGAGCTGAGGGACATCGCAGAGTTCATCTGTGTTCTCTGCCAGTTTACCCAGTTATTGGTGACAAACTGGATTGCTTTAAAGTATGACAGAGATCAAATACTCCGATTCTGCTTTGTCTGAGCTAGGTCTGTCCACAGTAAACTGATAACAAAGCAAACAGCAAAAGCTTTGTTTTCATCTGTGTGTTTTGGGAAAGGAATTTTTTGGTCTTTTCATTGCATGTGAAGTGCTTTGTAAATACTGGTGTATAGCAAATACTCATGTGTGACTAGAAACATTGCTTGATTATGCTACCTTGCTATCATTTCATTCTATACTGGCATTAGTATTGGGAAGAGCAGAAGAGGATTTGGCTTTGGCAAATGATCGATTTCTCCTTTGTCCAGCCTAGAATGAAATGGCTGCTTGAAACCCTGAGAGTCCAGGAAGTTAAAAAAAAAAAAAAAAAAAAAAAAAAAAAGTGTGCCTTCAGACATTCAGATTTCCCCCATGGATTTGTCTGAAATTAATACATGTTGTCTTGAGAGCCATCGGGAAAATCCCAGACCTGCTGGGTGAGGGTGGGCTACATGGAGACATCAGCTCTCTGGTATCGGCAAGCGTTGGTCGGTTGCATCAACGTAGTGTTTGCGAAAGATTTCATGGAGGGTGTCAGTCCTTGCTGAGGAGATTTTGGACTGAGCTGGCCGCTGTGCCCAAGGCTTGGGCTGGCTGGGCTGGTGAATAGACACGACGTCCATGGTGGGAGTGTGTGGAAACGGGGGTGAAGCAATGAGAGGTCCCAGCAGGAGAGATCTCCCCAGGCTTCCTCCCGCACCTTCAGGTGCAGCACAGTTCCCCAGTGCTGCCATGCACAAAAATACAAATGCCATCCCTTCTTCCTAGTTGACAAAACAAATGATAAATAGGTGGAAAACTTCACTTAGGAGTTTGGATCCCAAAGGGAAATACGGTAAAGCAGAAGTCCTACATTCAGAGGTCTCAGGAGAAATGTCACCCCTACTCATAGCTGTTCAAATTCTCCTTGATCTGGTTGTCTTCACTGGTATGAAACAGTTTGGTTTTCCCATAGGAAAACATTTTATTTAAGACTTCTCTACTATGTGGTCTGGTTTTTTTTTGTTTGTTTTGTGTGTTTTCACTATTTTGTGAGGTTTCCACAGTCATTTGATTTGAGTGTTGGTGATTTTGACTGCGTAACAAAACACATGACAATAAAATGCCTTTGCTCTTTGTCAAAGAGGGGAAGAAGGAAGTTCCCCTTCCCCCAAAAGCACTCCCAATGCCCATGAAAACTGGGAAGATATTTGTGCTCATAATGACAATTGTCTCACAGATGTCCAAAATGAGCAGTTAGCCTGGAAATGTTCCTATCTGAATAAATGCTTTCCTTTCCTGTAGCAATAGTCCCCTTTTTTCCACTTCTATTCCTTTTGACTTTTTACACTCACTTGGTCTCTTCGCTCATTTTTCTCATTATTTTTGGCCAGCAAAAGCTGCACGTGCACCACTAAATACATTTTTTTTTTCTTCCCTTACCTCCTTCCTTTCTCCAGAAACATTGGAGCAATGCACTTCTCTAGCATTATACATATATTAGAGAAATTCTTTCTGTTTAGAACTATGCTTTTCAATTTTCAGGATTTAAGACTAAATTTTTCCTTTTTTTTTTTTTTTTTCTCTCCTCCCTGCTCTTTTCTGTGACATCAGCGATCCTAAAACTCCCCTGCATCACCCAAGCTACTTCTAGAGGCAGGCAGCTGTATTGCTTGCCCAAGCTCATTCCCTATTTTCTTCCGTTCTGACATCCTTCCTTTATCCTGGTGTACTGGGTTTTTTATAAAAAGCTCAGCTTTTCTTGATGGGCTGTATAGCGGCTTTGTACAGCAGCTGGTCAGATTTAGTTTATGCTCTGGCATGAATTCAATCCAACTTAGTTGACGAAGTTCTTGAACATTCCATTATGTAAATGCCTTGTACCTGTGATGATTACTTTATTCTCTTTTTTTTTTTTGTCCATTCAGTCCAACTTCTACTAAAGCTCTAATTTTATGAGATCTGACAGAATTTTATGTGGAGAGATGGGGTGCTATAAAAGCAAGTTCGTGTCTTTTATTCCAGTCCTGTTCTCTTCCCTCCTCTAGTCTCTCCTGAAATGTCGGTAGTAATTTTTTCAATAATTTGGTCCCATTGCTTAAAATATTTTTTTAAAGCAAATAAGTGACATACAGGGTCAATTCTTTCCCCCTAATAAGTCATAATTCTGTACAGACTTTGTACAGAATTTGGAAAGAAATCCCTGTGGAAAACACCTGCTTTTCTCCTATTACACTTATGGTCACACTGCTGGATTTGAGCCTTTTGCTGTTGCTCAGAACAACATTTCATGCCACAAGTTTAAATATAGTCTTCCAAAGTGTGCATGCCTACGTGGTGGGTCGTGTGTGCCTGTACACACGTGTGTGTGTGCATTTAAAGAGTGAGAATTACTTGTTCTCTCATGACATTTATGCATGTGGAGCATAGA